TGATAAAGTTATTTTCCAAAGTATCATTTTTGAGAAATAATTATAAACGCCTCTGTACACGCATCATCCGTACTCGTTTATGCGCTAATTTACCTACATGAACTTGATACCCGACTTTTACTAAAATAAGTTTGCAATAAAAAAAGATTAGTATTTTATTTTTAGTTGTTTGTAGTAGTATATTTTCGTTTGTAAATTTATAAAAAGAATTTTGAAAAAATGACTATCACCCGACTTTGAGTTATAGAAAAATTAATTATATATCTTGATTTAAAATCGTTTCTAGTTATTTGTAGTGACTTTCCCGTCGTTCGTAGTTAAAAAGTTACAATATATTAGCAATAAATAAAAATGTATTTTGTCAATTTTCAAGATACCTCAAATTCGCTTGCGGCATAATTTTTAGAATCGTATTTTACGCTGAAAACAATGGCGTGTGATAAAGTGTATAAATGTATAATCTATTTTTTTTCACAATTTATATATTTGTGTTATAATGTCTTACCATCTACATACGTATAATATAATCATTAAAATTTTACATTGCGCATGGCTAGACAATGACTACAATACATTTGAATGAAATCATAAGTGTCAAGAATTAAATAACGGAAAATCCATATACAATAAATTATGTATTTTTATAAACTTTGTATTATAAATAGGAATATATACATGCATAATAATTGATTGACATTGAATTTTATAAACAATATGGATATATCTTGCGTGAACTGTGTGTCTCACTGCTCAAAGGTATGTTATTATTTATATAAATAATATTTCATCTTTTTCATTAATGTTATTTTTTATTATTATATTTTTTATCTTTGTATTTTATCTTTGTTGTAAATAGTTTCCTCCTTCATTAAAATGTGATGTGATTACATAATTCATAACATTCAGTGGGGAGCTGTGGGTGATGTGGGTCTCGTCGCAGCATGCAAGAGGAAGATAAAGAACTGATTATCCGTGGCACATTGCAGCAAAAGATATCCTGCTGTCTTGATAAACTTGATAAATTTTTACTTCAAAGTCGGCCGGTTGTGAATAGCATGGTCGTTGCTGAAAAGAAAACAGGCTCTTTCGGAATTGGCAATATGGTAGAAGCTGTTGCTAATATTTTAGGTAATTGAGCTCAAGTAGAATTATTTTTTTGCATGCATATATATATATATATATAGTTATGCGAATCTTATTGCCCCGATAGTGCGCCATAATTTGTTCAAACTATTGTGCGAGTGTTATTTTATGTTTAGATACTGCTCAATTTATATTTGAACTATTAATTATAAAACTATCAGTGCAATTATACGTGCGGAATCACAATTTTTAACACCCTAATAACAATTTGAGGAGATTATCAATATAACGCACTGTTCGAAAACAATTAGTTTTTTTACTATATTTATTATCCGTTCAGCCGTTGTTGAGATCCTTTAATCGCAAGTGTTCGCGACTCGTCGGCTCGCGTAAAGACACACGGTCCGGCGCATAAACTTTAGCGCCGACACTGTCTCGTGATATTTACAACATATATGACAATATTCTATTTTACGTTTGTAGACATAAAAGACATGAAAGTTGTAAGTCAAAATTTGTCTTTGGCCGAACTTGGAATGGATTCCATGATGGCTGTTAAAATCAAGCAAACTCTTGAACGAGAATTCGATATTTTTTTCACTGCGCAAGAAATACGAAATCTTACTTTTGCAAAACTCATGAAGATGTCCAATGAAAACGTCAGTGACGATAATATGCATGCATATGATAATATGCAAAAGAAATTCGACACAAAGAAGCCAGATATTATAAAATATCTAGTTGGTGTTGTAAAAGATAAAGATTTCATTTCACAAACTTATTTTCATCTCTCCACTAAGAGACAGAAAACTACTGAAGTATTTCTTATACCAGGTGTCGATGGATGTGGAACTGTATTTAATAATTATTTAGCACCAGATATTAAATTTTCAGCAACGTCCTTGCATTATAATACAAATAACATCAATACTACTACAAACATTATATTAGAGATTATTGATCATTTTGCAAACGTGAATAATATTAGTAATTTTGTATTATGGTCGTGGAGGATTATTTTTATTTAAGAGATAAATTTCATCAAATATTTTTAATATCTTTACAGCACATATTATCGAAACTAAAAAATGGAAAGGATTTTGTAATAGTAGGATACTCTTTTAGATCTATTATCGCAATTGAATTAACAAGAAGATTGGAAGCTATGAATTTTAAAGGTCGAGTAGTTCTTATCGATGGCGCTTCTGAACAAATGCGAACTATGTACGAACATTTTACATCAGATTTTGATGATGCAGATCTTCAGATTACTGTTCTAACTAATATTATGGAAATTTATGCGGCCGAAAGTAGTGAAAAGGTACCTATAGTTCTTCTTTAAGCTTACATTGAAATTAATTTACGATGTATTTATGTACACATATTATATTATATATATGTATAAGTGTTTTTTTATGAAAATCAGTATCAATCTTTTTGTTTTATCTTTTGTTCTTGTATTCAAAGTGTTTCTTATTTTGAATTAAAAATTGTATATAAAAATTTAACGTATTATACTTTGTAGATTCTAATGAAACTAAAGGAATGTAATACCTGGGAAAAGAGATATAATATTTTCGCCTAACAATTCTTAACCATGAATACATCTCTTTCACCTACAAATTTAAAGACGCTGTGTACAACAATTTTCAAACACTTATCCGTTATGCAGCAATATAATCCATCTTTGTTGCCACCTATTGAATCTCCTATAATATTGCTAAAACCTACATACCCGTTGCATATACCAATAATCGAAGAAGATTATTTGCAGAAGGTATTTCAAAAAATTTACGTTAATTTATTTTTAACAAATAAAATTCGAAGAAATTTTTTATTAATAAAATATATAATTCAAGGTAACTCAGAATGTGGTGAAAGTATATTACGTCGAGGGTAATCATGTTACGATCTTAAAAAACAAGAAAGTGTTAGCTGCAATTAACGGAGAACCGCCATTCATAATTTGAGGTTTTAATTTATTTATAATTTAATGATTTAAGAGATTTATAATAAAAAAGTTATTTCAAATATATTAAAGATAATAGACTTTTATCTCAATTTTCTCATTAACAAAGATCTATATAAAAAAGACTATAGAAAAATTTTGATTTTTACAGGAAGTTAAACAAATTAAAGAATATTAACAAATATGTTTTATTTATAAATCAAAATCACGGAAAAGAGTCAACAATAATTTCGAGAACAACGATACATTTCGAGTTCGACTTAACATGCACTTTTTTAGATAGAAAATAAATCTTCATATTTTATTTATAAATATATTAAACTTCCGAATAATAAAAGTATGTATATTTACAAATATTACATGAACATTATATATATAATAAACAAAATTTTAAAAAATAAGGAAGAGGAATATAAATAAAACAATTTTAAGAAATTAAAACAATATTAACAATAATATATTTAATATTATTTAAACTATACAAACTGCAAAAGAAATTTGCAAGAGAGTTATTTTCGTATTTGTAAAATTTGTTTAACTGATTTTATGTAGAATCAAGTCACAAATATACAAATTATGTGTTTTGTTTTCTTCAATCATTTAAATAAATCAATATTAATAAGATATAAAGTTTAGTAAATCTTAAAAATATGTAGGTTTCTCTTTAGAAGGCCTATGTCGGCATTAGCGACTTTTCTCTAATATTTTATTTCTTTTGCGAATTTCTATTTCTTTACTATTTTTACATCTCATTATTAGAGATTAAATATGCATTAGAGATCCAGTAAACCCCATTCGTCATACAGTGGAAGTCTTTTTATTATTGCTTTTCTATAACTCTCGCTCTTTAAGCCTGGATTACCACTGCTCATGATCTCATCCAAATCTCTTGCTTCAGTCTTACTGCAGAGCGCAAATTGAAAAACCGTGAAGGATGCTACCATTCCATAGCTAGCCCTGCGCTTTATGGAATCCTTCAGTTCCTCCATGGTGGGTGGCTGCGTCTTGCAGTTTAGTTGCTTCATAGTCGTCGATAAGGTATCAAGATATTCGTTTAATAAAATATCTTTTTTGTTGTCAATGTCTGGGGAAAGACTTGTACTGAAAAAATATAGAAGATCGATTGCCGGTGATGTGTAGATGCACGCCTGGAAATCCACCTGTAATGTCAAATAAACATGTTTCATCTATTTATCTCTTAAACCTACAGTAATTGAATTTGAAATGAAATCCGTGCATTAGGAAAGAAATCGTGACGAGAAAGTTGGGAGTTTGCCCGGACGACACAGGCGCGAACAGGTGGCAGATACTTGAATGCAATCTAACTGGATTTATTACTTTAATTTACTGCAAAACACATTATACTTTCAAGTATCTTATACATTAAAAAATTACTTAAAAAAAAAATAAAAAAGCGTCAGGTATAAGCGTGCTTATCGAATAAAAACTGTACTAAATTAAAAAATAAAACTTAAGTGATATACAATATATATACATCACCATATTTTAATTGAAACATTTTCTTTTTTTAATACAAATAATAGTAGTTTTAATTTTTTTTAAATTATAATATTGCAAAATTGTTACTTAATTCAATCCAAGTATTATTTATCTAAAAGTTTTGATATCAATAATTAACAAGTTATATATAATCACATATATAAAGTTCCCGATTTATGCGATATTCCGGCACGTTTCTATAAAGATTTTAAACACATTACAATAAAAAGAAAAATATAATCACAAAGAATTAAAAGATAACAGTACAAAACAGAAATAATTTAAATACTAAAACTTTTTATGTAAAAAAACTTTATATCGCTGATAGACCGAACAAGAAAAACAATGAAAAGGATTAGTAAATTATAATAAATTTAAACCTGAGCAAGTAAAAACAAAATTCAAATATTATGATTGCAACAGAGTATAGTTTTGTTATACACTCTCTTACATATATTAAAAAAACTTAATCTAAACATTTGTTCGCAAATACATTCACGGTTATTACTTTTACTTCTGTTACATTATTCTTTATAAATTATTATCGGTTTTTTAGTCCATTGAACTTTTACTGTCTTATGTTTTGATATCTAGCAGTTCAAATCTAAACTATTGATTGAGTTTACTTAACCCTAGGTACACATATAGATACGTACCCCATGCGATTCTTCATTTTTGTCAAATTTTTAAAACACAATTTTTTTAACAATTATAATTAAAATAAAATATTAAAAATAAAATATTTTTCATCTGACTCCTGTTTATTTGTCTGTGTCAGATTCTGGCGTATCGATTTTACATGCGTTAAAAATATGCTTTCTTTTTAAGACTTTTTAAGAGATATAGCGTGTCAAAGTTAAAGAGTTTCACAGACCCCGCAATGTGTAGGAAAGGGATCCAAAAGTTATCATTTATAATTATCAATGTGTATCTAGGGTTAAAACTTGACCGATTCAGTTGTCGAGATTCGATAATCTCGGATATTCATAACTCGCTGGCGCACTCGCGATAGCAGAACGGGACGTGACAGACGTCTTGCTGCAAGATATTATAATATCTATATCTCCTAATTATCTCCTCCTTTTTATAATCAACTACAAATAAATATTGGAGATAATTAATATGCAATACATATATCGTAATAAGTGTTTCTCAAAGTATGTATTCTAATCTACTTAATCCAGTTATTTTGTTTATTTTTATATAAATTCATATTATTGCATTAAGAAAAACTCAGAAATGTACATAATTGAAAATGATTGAGTCATGTCATATTGAAGTAATAATATTCATAATGATTATTTTCTTTTTCTTGTCGTCAATTATAAATAAATATTGGAAATACGTATAGCGTGAACGTTGTTACAGTAAAGTTCCGACACTTCAGACTAATAATAGATATGGTTTAATGGACAGCTATAATTATAAATAATACTATAGATATTGTCTTTGATATCAGTCTGTTGGAAATTAAACCATATCTGAGGCAATATATTTTTTGTCTTGAAAGACTGTCGCTATTGATAAAAGACAACCAAATGTAGGAGATTTTTAATGACTTGTAAGCGTATGGATACAAGAACAATATAGATATGACATATATGACTTCCGCAGAAACGTTCGTGACCGTTTTAACTATTTAAACATGTTGGATTTTTAATAATGTACGTTTTTTATTAGTGTTATTTGTGGATTAGATTATTTGATTAATTTGTTTAATTGTCGGTGAGAAAGACTAAATATAAAGTCGAAACTTGTTCGAATATTATGGAATACATGCTTTTAACATTACTTTTGCATGATTTAATATAATTTATTTGACCATCCTTTTATGCTCGGTTCTAGCCTATTATTTTTTATTGTATTTAAAAAATATATTTTTTTAAAGTAAATCCGATGTTTCAACAAAGTAAATCGTATTACATCAAAAAATATAAATTAGATTTTACTATTTTATTTTATTTAATTCTTATTAGTTGCATATAAAACAGCAATTACATAATATACAAACTACCACACGTGTTTATATAGGAAATTTTTAAATTTTTATGACGTAAATGGTACTTACAATTATGTGATCAGTAGGTTTGTCTTCATTGTCATATTTAAACATCATATTATTCACGTGAAAATCACCATGATTAATAACATTAAATTCATCCTCGGAGAGCTTAACTGCATCTATTCCTATTTGATATATGTGATCGGCGAGTTTAGCAATTCTTTCCGAGTATCTAGCAATAAAAATCACATAAATTTGTACAAAATTAGACAAAAACAATATAAATATTTGCTTTAAATAGCGCAATTTGTACTTATATTTGTTATTTTCTGCTTAACATAAGCAGTCTTTTTATACTAATACATTTATCTTGTGTCGTATAAAATGTTGTTTTGAACTGACAAGGAAACCTCGCGAAGTGTCAAATTCTGATTTTAATGAAACTTTGTATACTTTGAGGTTACATAAATAAATAAATTTAGAAGTTATCAGTTGATGCTAAAAAACGATTTAAAGAGATGAATCCATCCCTTATATGTAAATTAATTCTTTTTCTCTTTTGTTATATCTCGAAAACTATTCAAGATATCAAAAAATGTTGTATATAAAAGTTTTACAGTAAAATTGTCTTTATTCATTTACGTTAATAATATTTTTTTAAATAATTATATTTAAAAATTTTTTTTAAATAATCATTTTCAAAAAATTCTATTAACGTAAATAAATAGAGGTAATTTTACAGTAAAACTTTTGTATAAAACATTTTTTGATATCTTGAATAGTTTTTGAGATATAACAAAAGAAAAAATAATTAATTTACATATAAGGGATGATTTTATCCCTTTAAACCGGTTTTTTAGCACTAACTAATAATTTCTAAATTCATCTATTTATGTGACCTCAAAGTGTATCAAGTTTCATTAAAATCAGAATTTGACACTTCGCGAGGTTCCCTTGTGAGTACAAGAAACAGTAACGAGAAATATTGCCGTTTACGTATACAAAATTTACTTTTTTACTTCTGGCCAATTTACAATCTCCTCTGATAAAGCTTTTGTACTCGTAATAAAATAATCTTTCATTTCCGGCGGGTGCTGGTTGTTAAACATTCCTTTCGTATACATCTCCTTTTGCTTTGGTTCCTAAAATATTAAAATATTTTTATGAAAAGATGTTGAAATTTATTTCCATTTGATCAAATATGAAGTTAAGTAATTATTAATAAGTAGTTTTTACTTCGGATTGACAATTTAGAATGTCACGTAATTAATGGCTACACAAAAACAGAAAAACTCTACATTAATTTTATTAACTTTAAATAATTAAATAATTTCATTAATTTTAAATTATAATTTTGCAAGAGTAAAGGTATTTATTGTTATAATTAGTTGGGCATGAATATACATATGTATATATACAGTGCGGTAGCGCGCCAAAAGTTCCGACCCACCTAAATAATTTAATTCTGAATAGTTTCAGATATTGGATTGAAATTTATAAGAACACAATGGCATCAAGGAATGTATTATTTAACCTGAACAACTTGAATTGAACACCTTTTCTAAAGAATGTAAAGTGTATTAAACACGTTGTTCTAAAGCTGTACAGGTTTTACTAAAAATCATTTCTTAGCAGAGTAGCATTAAAATTGTAAACGTTTTGTCACATTTCAAACTAATGTCTATTAATAAAACTTTTGAATACTTCTAATTATTATATATCATGTTTTTAACAGATACTTTGAATAATAATTCAAGAACAATTTCGTAGCAATTCAATGTTCATATCGTGCAATCAAAGTAATATTCCACATACACATTTGTTACGTTCAACATTAAGAACTTAAGGTTAGGCCAAACTAACGAGCTTATTTAAACGAGGATGACAATCATTGAAAGTTTCTTATTACGAGATTTTTAAAGCATTATACATAAAAAAATATTAACGCTATACGTGGTACATGTTTTGACCTATAGATTAGTGTTCTTCAGCCACCTCAACGAATAATAGTTACAGACACATATTAAATATAGAAATTAATACGTTACAATCCATAGAGTCAAATAAGAATGCGTTACAATTACGAACATGTACCACGTATAGCATTGATATTTTTTATGTATAATGCTTTAAAAATCTTGTTGTAATAAAAAACGCTGTTATCCTCGTTTAAATAAACTCGTTAATAGTCTTAATTTGTTTGTCTTTACAAGGACGAGCAGGCTTAATTTGTTTGTTTATTAAGGACTTATTATCGCGAACATTTAGAACTTGCATGATCTGTGGATTTGTGTCATTGACTTGAATTTTTAATAATTGCAGTGAGACATTACGACCGAGTTACACGTGACGATTTACCTTCTCGCATACGGCTACAGAGGTTGCATGAAACCTGGCTAGTCCGCGAAGCGCCAATATGGAATGAGCTAAGTCAAGACGAGCCACACGATCGGCCAAGCGAAAGCCAAGAGGTACAAGATCCTCGATCGCCAGAAGCGTTGGATTGTCATTTTGCGCGTATAAACCCTTCGCGCTTAAGCGATATTTCGGCTCTAACAAATTATTCATTTTATCCAAGGTATCTGACATCATCGATATTTCGGTTTGAAAAATACCTGATTGTGTGATCTGTAAACAAGTTTTACCTATAATTTGTGACGTGAAGGCCTGAATAGAAAATTTATGTGAGAGAAAGTTTTTGGCTTACCGAATGGGAAATAAATATTAATTTTATTCATAATTAAATTTTATCTTAAAAAGTCTGGAGAACGTTTTCTTGAAATATAGTATTTGCTTCTTTAAACTGAACTCATAAAAATTTCATCTTTAATTCCTAATTACTCACAAATAATTAAAATAATTATACTACTCTTTTTGTTAAGTAGAAATTTATACCAAAATAATAGAACCTGCTAATTTGATCTCTCACTTTCTCTCTCTTTTTCCCTCTCTCCTAATTCTTAGAAACATCGTTTAAGTTAGATTAACTTACAAGATTGTATCGAACGCTATTTGATCCTTTGAGTATAGGCGAGAGTTTGACGATGATTGATTTCTTCTCTGTAATCTTACTGCTGTCTTGGTCACGTGAAAATTCAGCAGTAATTCTGATCATGTCGCTGCCGTAGTTATCACCTTTGATCGTGGCCGGTTTCGAGAACATATTAATCACCCGAATCGAATTGTCGCCTTCCGACTTTCGCAGGATTTTCTCCACGTAGCATTGATCTAGCCATGACGGTGTCTCTAAGGCCATTTCTGAAATTAGAATTGAAATTGAAGAACTTCCCTGGCAATTAATCATTGTTTTTCCTATCATGTTCCGAAATGCGAGAGCGTTCTTTACAATAATTTATTGCTCGCTGCAATATTTATCACATTTTTTTCCTTTCCACCCGAAAGCTCCTTCCATTTCGACTTTTCCTTCTCATTCCAACTTTTCCACACTTTCCTTTATTATTCGTCTCACGTTTTGTTTTATTATTTTTATTTGTATCCATCGATATACAAAACATACGTGTTTCGTTCTTGTCCGGGAACACAGGCCACGTTGCCGCGCGTGCACCGATAACCCACTATTCCCGCTTTTGAGTCGAGTCTACTGTGGTAGACGAGTTTTTCTTGTAATAATTCACC